GCACGATTGATGCCTAACGTCGGAGGCCCAAAGCAGAGCAGGAGGCTATTACTGTCATCAGTAGTCACATCGGTGCTCACTTATGGAATATCCATTTGGGCCGACGCACTAAAGACGCAAAAATCATGGAGAAAGGCTGGGCCAGTATATCGACTGAGTGCCCTACGAGTAACTAGCGTCTTTCGCACAATATCAGAGGATGCAGTGTGTGTTATTTCTGGTACTCTGCCTCTCAGAGTCCTAGTTGAGGAAAGACGGAACCTATATCAGCGAAAAAGGTTAACCACACTGAGCCCTGAAGAACTTCGAAGCGAAGAACGGGTACACAGCATCGCAAGATGGCAACAAGAGTGGAACGCTTCATATAAGGGTCGGTGGACGTACCGTCTCATACTTCGGATTGATGAGTGGTTCAACCGGAGTCACGGTGAGATCAACTATTATCTACCGCAGATATTATCAGGAGACGGATGTTACCGGAAGTATCTCCACCGCTTTAAGCATGACGATACCCCAGAGTGCCCGTCCTGTCCAGGGGTCAATGAAGAAGCGGAGCATGTCTTCTTTGTGTGTCCACGTTTCAACCAACAGCGCAATGAGTTAGAGAAGATTCTGAAGAAGAGAACCCAACCAGAGTCAATAGTAGAGGCAATGTTGTCGTCAGAAGCTGCCTGGAACGCTACCAACTCGTTTGCAACAGAAGTCCTTAAAGGCTTGCGTTCCACCGAAAGAAGAAGAGCAAATAGCAGAGTATAGAAGGAAGGTAGTTAACACCTTAGCCATCAGAAGGAAGAGCAGTAGCTAGATCCTCCCCTCACGAAGTAATGCTTGACGGCGGTTTCCATGAGGGATTAGAGGAAAGAGGAAAGGGGTTTAGGGTTTAGTGGGTAGGGGCGTTAGCGTCGAGTTTTAGTATGACGCTGCGTCGAGTCGCCACATATCCAGGCCAACAACTATGCCTAGAATCCGTAAAAAGGATTCCCCCCCCTAAAGGAAAAAAAAAAAAAAAAAAAAAACACACACACTAACTACCGAGGTATAGCTCTAACTAACTGCATTCTAAAAATCTTTACTCAGATTTTGTCTGTAAGGATTCATAAGTGGGCCGATATGCTGAACATAATTCCAGAGAACAAGCTGGCTTTCTTCCTGGGTGGAGCTCCGGTGATACCGACTTCTCCCTTCTTGCCTCCCTTCAAATAGCCATGCGTCTTCAAGGCAGTGCTGCCTATGCACTTTTTGTAGACTTTAAACGAGCCTTCGACTCAGTCCCGCATGATAAGCTGTGGGCCAAGCTACACCACCTTGGACTTAGTCCCAAGATCCTGAATATTTTTAGGTCCCTGTACAACACTACCATAATGCAAGTCAGAAGTGACAGTGTTCTTTCATAGCCAATAGATGTCACCATGGGAGTGTTGCAGGGTGAAACTTTGAGCCCCATCTTGTTCATACTTTATATCTCGGACTCTCTTAAAAGAGTGAGGAGTTGAAAGCCTCAATATAAATGCACACACTGACCTTTTGTGTTTAGAGTATGCTGATGACCTGGCAATACTTGTTCATTCTCCAGTTATGCTACGTAGAGCACTGTGAAATCTTGAGAAATACTGCGAATTAAACGAACTGATAGTTAATACCTCCAAAACTAAGTTACTCAAAGTCTTTGCCAGTGGAAGAAGTAGAAAAGACTCAGACAAGTTTCATTATAAAGGTGACCAGGTTGAGTCTGTGAACTCTTTCATATATCTAGGGGTATATTTTACGACCTCTCTACAAGGTGATGCTGCAACCAATTCGGCTCTGACCAAAAGCAAACTGGCAGCCGGAACAGTAATAAATATCCTTTCTAAACTGAAAGCCAACTCATGGAAAGGTAAAATTCAAGTTTACAATAGCTTATCAAAAAGTATCATACTGTATCTTTCTCATCTATGGTGCCTTATGCCCAAAAACCTTGACAGACATGAAGCTGCCCAAATGTATTTCTTCAAGAAATTGCTCCAGTTCCCCAAGTGTACTTCAGGCTAGGTGCTGAGATTGGACCTCAACTTAGACTACGTGGCTGTGAGTATCCTTAAGCAGGCACTGAACTGGGTCAGTAACATCTTGGAGATGAAGGAGTCCAGAATACCCAAAATCTGTTTTAAACGTCTACACGAGCTCACCATGACACCGTTCTGTTCTTATAAGACTAACTGGGTACGATACAATTAAAGGAAATCCTCAGTACAGTTAATGAAGAAAAACTGCTTGATCACCTGAAGCCTAGTCTTTGGAGAGCTAGAATCCCCCTAATTGTCTCTAAATTCTCCAACTATCTCCAGAGCTTGGATAGGGATAGATACAGTCGATCGTCTGCCTGCCAGTTCATTCTTCCTCAGCCTCTGGTGAGCTCACTAAAAGGCATGAAAAAAACACCGCATCATCTCCTCAAGCTACTTGTCCAACTCAGGTTGGCCAATAACTATGCCTGCAACCTCACAATTCAGCAAGTCACCTATAAGCTCTTCCCCTCACATCAATGCAGATTTTGTCATCTACCAGAATGTGAGACCATACTACACTTCACTACGAAGTGTCCCTACTTCATTGACATCCGTTAAAAAAATAATGTCTTAAAGGTAGATAATGTTTTAGGCTTACCCTGGAAGTCTGCTCTTTAGTAGAGAGGCTCAAATTTAATGGGCCCTTTCACCTTCTATGGGTATTTTTACTATCGAAATACCGTATCTCGTGTATCACGGAGAAATTAAGTATTTACTAATAATGAATTATTTTAATCTTTGCGACTTTACGCGGAAAAACTTAGCACTCAATCGACGCTCAGGTATTTTCACTACCGAACTACCGTATCTCGTGTATCACGGAGAAATTGAGTAATTTCTGATAATTAATTATTTTAACCTTCGCGACTTTATGCGCAAAAACTTAACACTAATTGACGCTCTTCGGCGGAAAACAATATACTTCGCGATTCTCGCGGAAAAATCAACGCTCAACTGCGGAATAATAAAAATCGACTGTAACGGGTTGTTTTACTTACCGCTCATTGGCCCCTTAATTAATTTAAATAAAAAGCAATACAATAAACAATAATGATTCTAAATTAAAATGGGCGCCACCAGGATTTTAGAACACGGTTCCTGGAACCGGAAACCAGAGCTGAGCTTATAATCTATAGGGAGAGAGAGTGGAGGAAGGTGATCTGTAATGAATAAATTTTTATTTAACAACGGTACCCAAAATTTATTAACAAATTAAAATAACAATTCATGCACTTGCACGTACACTATCTCACTTACAACTAATTTAACACTACGACTTCTCACTACTCTCCTCAACTCAACTTAACCTAAGTAGCCAGCAAGACACCTCGTACAGAGGCTATCGTATACGAGGGCGATGTGTAATCCTTATAACTATCAAAAGGTCTTATTCCTGCAGTACCCTCATACGGAGCGTCTATACTGCAGTTTCTATCTTACTACCGCTGTACCCCACTTGGCGTCTATACAACGGCTTCTAGGACTGTACGAATTACTCTACTCGGCAAACCATCAACAAACAGAGAACGCGTACACTTACACACACTTAACCCGCACGATCTTCACACACATAACCCACGCTCACACACACACACTCTGACTCTACTTTACTTTTATTTATAACAATATCACAGAATTTACTTCCAAAATTAACTACATTAATTTTCCCCTAATTATTCAGTCATTAGCTAACAATTAAACTCTGACTTACATCGACGCCTAAACTTCTTCCAAAATTACCCCGAATTTAACTCAGCACATTAAATAAATTCTAAGAATATTCTTTATAAAGTTAACTAAATTTTCTCGGACGTAATCCACACTGACAAATAGTTTTACAAAGAATTTTATCGGAATGATGATATTAAATTATTGACAAATTTTTCAGAACATGAGTTCAATATATAAAGACAACCCAAGTAGAAATTGGCAATTAAATTAGATCGTTAATTAGTGATTTCCTCAATATAAAAATTAATTGCCTAAAGTTTATCTACGGATATATCAGTCTTATCTGCGCAAAGATTCAGCAAATTAATTCTCAATAATTAATATCATGTTGAATAAATATTTTCTGGTAATTAAGAATGTCAATTAATGACGATTAATGATAATTCAATTGTTGTAATTTATAATAATGGTCCAATTGTTAATTTTATAATTTATTGCGTGGTAAAATTCACAAAGGAATTTGCGCGCTCAAAATGGACGCCGGTGTTCGTAAGTGCGTAGCACGCTTTGACCTCAGGTATGCGACCGACGCTTGACCAATCGTGAGTTGCTGATTGGAATATTTCTTGATGTTCAGAAATTATTTAATGTTTTATTAATAAAGTAAATTTATTAAAGCCAATCTTAAGATATTAATAATTATTAACTGGCCATATTAATAATTTAATTACTCACGACTTCTAAACCCAAGAGGTCTAGAACATTCCTCGGGTATAAAATCCCCAAGAGAAATGCTCTAAATGCTAACGAACCAAAGTCAATTAAAAGAATTAATTATTATTAAGCAAAATTATTATAAACAATTGAATTACCAAAAATTAAATTAATAAATGAGAAGTAGTATAATTGATGAGCCGGGTATACGACCTCCTTGGCTCATCAATCTCAAAGTCCTTATACCTGGTGTAAGTTTGGCTAGAAGAATTCCCGGGCTTCCTTCTTGGACTTTTGGATGTTACTCGTTTCAGCACTTCCGCCTCTACTTCTGCCTCACTTCTGCCTCACCGCCGCTACGTAACTCACCAAGAAACCCAAAATTACCCCCACCTACTCTCTCTCTAGGCCCGAAGATCGATACGCACAAATGCTAGTCGAAAAGTTATCGATCTCTGGCGACTTATCGATCTAGGGTAATATTACCCTGTTACACGACGCTCAACGGCGGAGAATAATAAAAAGAAAATCGGAATATAACTATGGCAAATATCGAATGAATTTACCGCGTTAGTGTTACGAAATGTAACCTAACCACGAGCAAGGCACTCAATCGTGTATTACGGAGTACATTGTGCTTCCGAAGAATTGTATGCTCGGAGCCGATCGACGCGGAGCTAACCAGTGGTATCCTGGTCGAAATCGAACTGCCAGAAAATGATTTTCGGGCGGTATTTATATGATTAGCAGCATCAGTGATTGTATGGGCTTCATAGGTAAACTATTCAAAAAAAAAATGAAAGATAGTGAAGGGCAATTGTCCGTGAATCATCGCGTTTTCTAATTCTTGGAAATCAAGGTACTTTCATGAGTAGTTTCGAAATTTACCTTGAGTCTTCAATTTGGAATAGAAAATGAGATGATACTTTCACTGTATTATTAATACAAAAATAGGTAAAAGTCATTAAAAATTTGAAAGATATTGACAAAAATAGAAATCCGAAAATTAGAAAGGGTGTCATCAAATCTTTGGAAATCTAGGCCAGATTTCTCTTCTACAGACTTCAAGGGTACGATGAATTGTAAATTAAAAATAAAAAGTTACATATATTTAGAAGAAAAACAAAAAATTTTAGATTTTAGCAGACGTCACACTATTAAGGCTACATGAAAATCATGTTGCTGCCACATGATTTTTCTCATGTTACCGCAACATGATTGTCATGTAGACGAAGCATGACAAATCATGTGGATGTAACATGATTTCATCAAGTTTATTTACCAAGACTGCATCATGTTGCATTTACTATTTATTTTTTTCCGTGTACTACCATGCAACCTAACTTGCTCGGGAAAAGCACGCGACAAGCGAAGAGTGAGTGAAACAACACCGTTAAGCTGATGCGTGAAATTGAAATGACACCGATAATCTAAGAAGTTTGCTTACTTTTCAAATCGACGGCATCAAATTACAAGAAAATATATAAATTGGAAAATGACAGAGATTAAATCATTAGTAAGACCAGGGACTTCGTATGGAAGGGGTAAAACAATTGATGCTCGTGCGTTACCCCTTCCATACGAAGTCCCTGGCCATAATCATTAGTAATTTATTTGATACTTATGAACTCGAATTTAGTTCTCGAATATACTTATATTGTTAATAATATAATGGATAATTAATAATACTTCTAATTTTTTGTTTGAATTTAGGCCTATTCTCACTTACTTTTAAATGCAATGCAGTCAAATATTGAAAATAAGCTTACCTCTATACGCATGCATGAAAATATATAAAAATTCTGTTGTGAAGACAGAATTTTTATAGACAAAAAATTGAGATAAAAACTACTAGTTATTACAAAAAAAAAAATTAGGAAAACGGTTGACCCTGAAGGCCATCCCTGCAACTTACCGCTAATTTCGTTAATACTTGGGCGCTTAAAATTGTTCAAAGAGCTCAAAAGTCTGACGGACGTGTAATATAAAACGGTATTTTTATAAGTTTTAAATTGCAATAATTTCTGAATTAATGAACCGATTTTCACACGGTCGGCAGTATTCCTCGCAGTATTTCGAGTTCTATGATATACTTTTGAACACAAACTGATCGAACCGAAAATTTTAGAGAAATCAGAAAAATTCACTTTTTCTGAATTTTTTAGACAACGATAACTCGCAAACCAATCAACCGATTTTCACGTTTTTGGTGGCGATCGTCGTGTTTTTTTAGGCTCTAATAATTATTTTATTTCATCAAAAATGATCCAAAACGAAATGTCGAAGTTATGTGAAAAAAACTGTTGTCTACTCGAGAGGACTTTGACTGGAACTTTTCCTCAACTCTGAAAAGAGCTCTTACGTAATTGAACTAGTTGGCGGCCTTGAGAAAGGCCTTTGGTTGAGATTTACTGCGAGACTGACTGAGCTTTTGTCGAGATGACAGTTATAGCTTAATAGTAGCTAAGCGGTGACTCAAGGTCACTCGCTCTCAAAAGAGAGCTGGTTGTTTAGTTCTAACAAGAACTATTGTTTACTTCTAGAGCTCTTATAAAAGCTGATTTGCTTATATACTGGTCGCGGACAACAAGCTTTGCGCGCTTGTTGTCTAACGAAAAACTTAAGTAAGCCTTGCGCGCTTACAGCTGGAATAACAACGCTCTTGACAGTTGAGATGGTCCGTATCGATGAGATGGTCCGTATCGATGAGATGGTCCGTAGTAAGTAGCTGTACTCGGTTGATGGGAATAAGCAAGCCTTGCTCGCTTGCTTTTCCGTGTTGCACTACGCTTGCAAGCCTTGCGCGCTTGCTGTAGACTATTCGCTAGTCGCTGGAACTGTAGTTGAAGGCACAGGAACGAATGGCCCGAGGCAGTTTATAAAATATATTTATTGATCCTTCATATTTACATATATTGATACAAACTCTGTACAACTCATATATTTTTGATTTAAGTTCATTCATATTTCCTGGCCATTTTTGGCTTTACCATATATTAAAAATTTTATTTTATTTCAATGATAATAGTTACAATAATAATATAGTTTAGTTTCAGTATTTAGGAATAAATTTTTTAATTAAAAACCTAATCAGATTGGTGTTAATTTGTTATTTACTTAGCCTACCTTAACCTAGTTTCAATAGTCCTTATTTATTAACAGCCTTCAGTTAACACAGACGAGGACGTTTGATTGATGTTTTTTTTTTTTTTTTTTTAATATCTTTAGTCTAAGAATGATCATCGATCATTACCTGCTTTGGCACTTTATATTTGAGCCAGGAGTTGCTACTAATTTTACATACTTCTTGGAGTATGATGATGTTCTTAAATTTTTTACTATAAAAATTAGTTGCATGTTTATGAACTAATTCTTTAAGCTCTGGAATGTTAGTTAACTCATGTAGTTTTTTATTAGATATGCCAGGTTCTGAATCGATGATCATTCTCAGACATTTATTTTGTATTATTTGCAGTCTTTTATAATTAGTATCACAAGTATTACTCCATATTGGGCACGCGTATAATATCACAGGTCTAATACACATTTTGTAAATTATTAACTTGTTATTTACAGAGACTTTGCTGTTGCGACATATCAATGGGTATAAAATAGAGATTGCAGCATTGGCTTTTTTAATTATATTATCCACATGATATTTAAAATTAAGTTTAGTGTCGAGAATTAATCCAAGATATTTCGCTTTATCCGTTAACTCGAGTGTTTGTTTGTTCATTTGAACAGATTTAGTAATTTTATCCTTCTTGTGGCTAAATATCATAATTTCTGTTTTTTCGACATTGATTTTAATTTTCCATTTATTGTAATATTCTTCTAGATTATCTATGTGTAATTGTAGCTCACGCAAAATAATATCTTTTTTAAATGAGGACTTGAGAATACCCGTATCATCCGCAAAGAGCGCGGTCGCAAGATCTTGATTACTGGGAATATCATTTATATACAATAAGAACAAAACCGGCCCTATTATAGAGCCTTATGGAACGCCTGCCGAGATTGATCTACATGTACTTGTTGCATTACCAACACTGACAACAAATTTTCGTTGATATAAATAGCTTAGGATAAATTTAACGATATACATCAGTATGTTATAAATTGTTAGCTTATGAATGAGAGCTTTATGCCACACTGTGTCAAAAGCTTTCTCGATATCAAGGAGCAGTAGGCCTGAGCTTCGGTTTTTATTGAAGTTGGTACTAATAAAGTCAGTGACTCGTGCTAATTGTTGAACGGTGCTATGATTATTTCTAAAGCCGAATTGCTCAGGGATAAGAACCCCTCCTTGATCGAGAAAGTTCCTGACACGTGTGGTTACAATAATTTCAAGTAGCTTGCCTAATGTCGGCAGCAGACTTATTGATATATAGTTTTGTGGGAAAAGGGTATTTTTATTGGGTTTTTGGAATGGTAGGATATTGGCTTGTTTCCAAATTTGAGGCAAGTATGAAAATTTTAGAGATGCATTGAAAATATAGACTAGTTGAACTAGAACTTTTTTGGGAAGATTTTTTAAGATATTATTTGTTATGTTATCATGACCTGGCGCTTTATTATTTTTTACTTTCTTTATAGCTTTTCTTATTTCCTGAGGGTTTGTTAATATGATATCATTTAAGTCTATTTTAGTTCTGAGAATATTATTGTATGTGTTATTTACTTGTTTTTCAGTAGCTTTGTCACTCATATCTCTAGTAAGATTATGTGTTTCTTCGAAGACATCAGCGATAGCCTCGGCTTTAGATTTGTCATCGTATACAAGACCTTGCTTCGAATGAAGTGTAGGAATCGTATTATTAGATTTTTTCCGCATTTTAATCGCTTTCCAAAGCGTATGATCCTTAATATTTAAAGTCTTTAACCTGAACTCTATTTGTTTGTTGTGGTATTCTTTTATACTATATCGTACATCTTTAACTAAGCTAATGTATATGTTTTTATCGTATACCGAGCGCGTTCGCTGATGTCTTCGCTTATAATAGTTACGGATTTTAATCTTATTTGTAATATAATCTGGAAGTTTGTAGTGATAATTATAAATATCTTTAGTAGGTATAAACTTCTTCATTGTTTGTTGTATTTTATCAGTCATTTCATTTACTACTCTATCAATACTGTTCCTGGAATGCAAGTTAGAATTTATAGTAGTATTTACATTTAATTCGGATTTAAACAAATCTCAGTTTGTCTTATCGTATAATAATACCTTTTTAACTGTATGCTCAACATATTTGTTAAGTATAGTTATTTGAACCGGCTGATGGTCTGAATCTAATTGATTTAATACTTTTGGTTTACTTACTGCCACATTTTTGATTAAAGCTATGTCTATAGTTGAAGCAAGAGTATCTGTATTTGATATTCTAGTAGGTGCATCCGGAAATTGGATATCTACTGGGTTAGATTGCATATAACTATATAATATTTTTCCGCTTGTGTTGGCGCGTTTACAGTGCCATAAAGCATGCTTAGCATTTAAGTCACCAGCAATTATTATTTTATTGCCAAGTTTAAAGATATAATCTAAGTCACCAGTGTGTATGTTGGTGTTCGGATGGTTGTAGCAAGAAACAATCAACACATCACCTGGAATTTTTATACCTATTGCTTCTAAAGACTTCGTATTAATTGATACAAGTGAATGCTGTATTGATTTTTTAATAAAAATAGCCACTCCACCTGAAGCAGTGTTAGTTGGTCTATCTTTTCTGTAGCATGCGTAATTTTTAATATGACATTTATTGCTAGTTTTTAATTTAGTTTCGCTTACCAATAGTATATCAACATTAAATTCAGACAGAAAAGCTGTCAGTTCTATTATTTTATTTATAATACTATTTGCATTCCATTGTACGATATTGATAGATTTTCGTTTATTAGACTGATCCATTGTTATTTTTGATTGCACTAGAATTTAATTTTCGCGCGCAAGCGCGCGCCTCATATTTATTGTCATGATATATTTATGTGTCGTTTATGTATATTATATTAACTTTCAACCAATCAGAATGAGAATATTTATTTTCAACCAATCACATCACGAATAGATTGGTTTCACATACATTTCATCTCAATTTAACTAGAATTTAAATTTACGCGCGCAAGCGCGCGCCTTGACTGTAGAGTTTGCATATATTTTCATGCTTATGATATATTCAACCAATCACGTTACGAATAGTTTGATGCCACATACATTTCATCTCAATTTTATTATGGGATCACTGATTACTATAATTCGACTAATATCATCATTACATGTTTCTAGTTGGCTATTGATTCTTGTGACTAGTTTTAACAGTTTTGTAATATTGCAAAGTTTATTTAGATTGTTAATTTGTTCGATTAGGTTATTAAATTCTAACATTTGATTAAATTCTTGTTCAGTGTTTGATTTTACTTGTAATTTTCTTACTTGTGTTGTGTCTGATGTTTCATATTGTGGCGATGGTGTAGTTGCCCATTGCTGTTGAAGTGCTGTTGTTACCCATGTGTTTGTATTCGTCGGCTGCTGCTGGTGTTCGTTCACTGGTCTCCACTGATGATTGTGACCTGAATTGAGCTGCTTATGATGAGTGAATTGTGGCTGCTTTGGATTTTGAGAGCTATTGTAGTTCCTTGTGAGCGACGGAAAGTTCGCCTTGTCTATATTGAACGTCTTTTTGGAGTTTGGATGTTTATTTTCTGTTATTTTTTTTTTTTTTTAAGTGGTCTAGATATTTCGGGCAGTTCTTATCGTTTGCTGAGTGTTTGCCTTGGCAGTTGATGCAAGTGGGTGACTCGTTCAGTGGTTTTTTACATTCTTCCGTTAAATGATGCAGAGAACATTTAACGCACCTTGGTGGATTTGAGCAAGTAGTCATTCCATGTCCAAATTGCTGACATCTGTAACACTGAGTGACTTAGCGAGAGTTTCTGTACTTTTCCCATGTAATTTTAAAATAGCACAAGGTTTTGATCTTCAAAATATTAGACAAGTCCTCTTTGTTGTTTAGAGTGATCATGTATAGTGGAAATTGCGTATGTGTTACTGTTTGGTCTTCTGATATCTTCTTTTTCGTCATTTGAATTAGGCTTGATGTTGTGAGTCTCAATATCTTGTTGTAGTTTAGTAATTTCTACGCTTGGCAGACCTCGAAGGACCACGTGGATGGGCCTTTGGTCCGGTAGAGTAAATGTATGGTGTGCTACTTCTAGCAATGTGAGGTTAGTCAATATGCTTGAGTGGTCTTCTGTCGATGATGCGTAGATACTCATTTTCTTCACATATTTGAAGTACACAGGACTTTTACACAGATTGGTAATATTTGATGTAAATTTATTCACGTCTGTTATTGTTTGATTTACTATGATTGGTAGAATTTTATACTTCTTAGATTTATTATAATTTACTTGATTATTTTCACTATCCGATCCATTCTCCGAGTTAGTCCTTTTTCTTTTGTTATGTGATACTTTATTCCAATTACCATCCTTGTCCGGTGGCTTGTCAGTTGATGGGCGTCCTCCTGGCCCCATGCTGTTGATGCGAGAGTTTACACGACACTAATATCTACGGTTCAAGGTGGGATCTTGCACGATGTCCAATGTATTAGTATCGACCTGTGCATAGCTTGGCTGCTCAAACAAGACTCGTCTCCTATGGCCCGAGGCCCGCTGCGCTGCTACTGATATACTGTCGTTGCGGGTAGTGGGGGAATAAAGCGTGAGCCAATGAGATAGCTTGTTCGAGGTGACTGTGGAGGTCCCGTTTTCACCAATGAGAGCGCCTCAGTAAAGTTGGAAAATTAGGTACCGAAAAAGGCGCGGACCGAGAAGAGAGCGCCTGCCAGCTAGTTCTCAGTTATAGCTCGTTTTTAAAGTCTTTGGCTCTTTGCGTATGATTTAGATGGTTAACAAATTTTCAACAAAAACACTTTTTCCGAAATTTTTCGTTTTCGATAACTCTCAAGCGAATCAACTGACTTTGACGGGACTGGTAGCAATCGACGTGGTTTTTCAAATTTAAGAGCAGATTAGTTTTTTGAATTGATCGGTCAAGCCGTTTAGAACTTATTCCAAAAAAACGATTTTTTGAAAATTTTATTTTTGAGATTTCTCAAAATCTAGCAAACCGAATCGATTCAAATTGTCACGAAATTTAATAGCAATGATACTCTTTGGATCACCACTTATTTTGATCCGATCGGCCGAGCCGTTCAAAAGTTATAAGAGGTTTACACACACACACACACACACACACACACACACACACACACACACATCATTGAACAAAGCCATCAAGGATAGTAAGAGACAATGCTGGAAAGAGCTCATCAACGAAGTGGATAAAGACGTGTGGGGTAGGCCTTATAAGGTGGTTATGACCCACCTGAAAAAACAACAAATGCCATCACCTACGTGTCCCCAACTTCTTCAGAAAATCGTCACTGCACTGTTTCCACAGCAACGCAACTTCGATTACCAGTTGGCGCCAGCCGAATTGGACGACATACCACCTGTCACTGAAGAAGAATTGCTAGAGGCTTGTAACCGTGTAGGGAATAATAAAACGCCGGGATTGGACGGAATCCCTAATATAGCATTGAAAACCATCATAAAGGCAGCTCAAACATTATTCCTAGACGCTTATAATGCATATCTCAAGGAGGGGACTTTTCCTCGTAAGAGGAAAAAGCAAAGATGGGTACTGTTGCCTACAGG